ATCATGGAGAAAACCAAATCACTCAGATGCTGCAGATAAAGCATCTGTTAAAATGTCATAGCTGGCTGGGGCTGTAACACAGTGGTAGAGCAGGTACTTAGCATGCAGAGGTCTTAGTTTCAATCCCCAACTTTTCTCCCCTGAAAATAAGTAACATTTATAATGAAAGTCTCTTTGCAGACTTGGAATAGGACTACTTCCTTAATCTACTGAGGGATTCCATCAGGAACCTATGACATGTACTGTATTTGTTTCTTTTTTTTTGTGGTACAGGGAATTGAACTCAGGACCTTGCACTTGCCAGGCAGGCGCTTATGCCACTGAGCTATATCCCCAGCCCTGACATGTACTGTATTTAACAGTGGAGTGTTAAAAGCATTTCCTGTAAAGCCAGGAATGAAGCAAGAAGTCCTATTATTGCCACTTCTGTTCATTATTTTACTGAAGGTTGTAGTCAAAAGTAGAAAAAAAAATGATACAAGGGTTGGAAAGGAAAAAATACAGCTTACTGTAAACATTATGATTGTCTACGCAGAAAATCCAATTGAAGCCAGAAACGGGCTGTACTTTAAAATATTTCACAGAAAGTCTGGAGTCAAGATCAAAGAAAGTCTTTTGTGTTTGTATATACTAAAATCAATAGGAAATGGGTTAACTCACAGAAATCAGTGCTGGCATGGTGGTGCATGCCTGTAATCCCAGCACTCCAGGCAGGAGGATTGTTACAAGTTTGAGACCAGCCTGGGCTGCAAAGTGAGCTCAAGGCCAGCCTGAACTGCATAGTGAAACCCTGTCTGAAAAAGACAAAAAACAAATCAGTGATAGCTATAAGAATTAAGTATGTCCTTGAATTTACCTAACAAGGTGTGTGAGGCCTTTCTAGAGCAAGTTTTTACTTCTTTTTTCTTTTATGATGTTGGGGATGGAACCCAGGGCTTCGGCCATTGTAAGCATGGATCCTACTGCTGAGCTGTAGTTGCGGCCCCTCTAGAGAAAGCTTTACAAACGTTTGAAAAAGTAAACCCAAGGAAGTGTAGAGAGGTAGCACATTCAAAGTTTAAGAAACACTGTGTTATAAAGATATCATTAATTTCTCAAGTTAGTGTCCACTGCAATTCCCATTTAGATCTCAGCCAGTTGTAGGAACTTCATAATTGAAACCTAAAATTTATAAGGGAGGTTGAAAAGCCAAGAATAGCCAGGACAGTTTTGAATAGTAATAAAGTGGTAGATTTCTTGTAGTTGATAACAAGGTTTAAGATTGTGTGGTACTGACGCGGGGCAGAGACAGACACAGCCATAGAACAGAAGAGAAGACCTGTGATCAGACCACTGTGTGCAAAGCAGCTTGCTGAAGGAGAGGGGTGGCGTTACCAGTCCACAGAAGGAGGGCGGGCAGTTCAATAAATGGTATTGGGTGGCCGCCAAATAGAAAAAGATGCAACTAGAAACATGGTTCTAGACTTCCTGAATCAACTACAAGTAGATGAGAGACTGTAAGAGTAAAGCTTTAAAACTTGTATAAAATAATGAAGAACATGAATATAACAATAGAGAAGGTGTTCCTGAATAATTCACACATGCTCAGTCATAAAAGGAAATGGTTCATCAGTTTAACTACATTTTAAAATCAGGATCGTCTAGTAATTGAGAAAATGCAAGTCAGAGTGCGAGATGCCACTCATGCCTGCCATGATTGTTACAAGAAAGAACAGATCATGGGCTGGGCATGGTGGTGCACACCTCGGGATCCCAGCACTTGGGAAGCTAAGGCAGGAGGAAGATCTCCAGGAGTTTGAGGTGAACGTAGACTACATAGTGAGTTGAAGGCCAGCATGGAATATATAAGGAGATCCTGTCTCAAAAACAAAATGAGATTATAAGTGTTGGAAAGGGTGTGGGGAAATTGGAACACTTACACACTGCTGGTCTGAGTACAAAGTGCTAAAGCCACTTTGGGAAGCAGTCTGCTAGTTCCTCTAAAGATTAAACATAGAAGCTGGGAGTGGTAGACACACCTGTAATCCCAGTATGCAGGAGGCTGAGGCTGGAGGAATGCTGTAAGTTTGAGGCCAGCCTGAGCTATGTAGTGACACTGTGTCAAAAACAATATCAACAAAAAACCAAACAAAAATTGAACATAGAGTTACATCTGACCCAGCAGCACCACTTGTAGGTATATAGTGATGAGAAATGAAAACATATCCATAGCAGGGTTATTCACAGTGGCAAGCAAAAATCCAAGTGTCTGTCAGCTGACACATGGACAAACACTGTGTTTATGTATAAATAAGATATTCTGTGCAGTGGAGTTTTTTTGGCAGTAAACAGGAATGAAGTACTGATGCTTGGCAGTGGTTGCATTAGAGCCAGGGGAAGTGGAGAGTTGCCCTTTCCTCATGAGGTGATGAAACTGTTCCATCAGAAATTAAAATCCATTCGTGTGGTGATTGTAGCTCAAATCTGTGAATATACTAAAAATCACTAACGTGCATACTTTGAATGGCTGAAGTGTATGATATGTGAAATATATCTTAATAAAGCTGTTAAAAACATCAAGACCTTTTCCTAGGGTAAGATATATCATAAACTATATCAAAGAAAACCCACAAGCTAAAATGGTCAAAGGCTCAGTATCAGAATCTAAAAAGAACTTCTAATCATTAATAAGAATTAGAATAACATTCTAGTAGTCAATGACCGGGGGACTCAGGGAATTCTTTTCTTTTTACTTTTTTTTTGGACATGCTCAGGATTGAGCCTAGGGCCTCATGCATGTGAGCCAAGTGCTCAACTTCTGAGCTGTACCCTCAGCCCTTTGTATTTTTTATTTTGAGACAGGATCTCGCTGAGTTGCCGAGGCCAGCTTGGGACTTGTGATCTTCCTGCCTCAGCCTGCTGAGTAGCTAGGATTATGGCCAGACTGTGCCCGGCCAGGCTATCTGTCTGTCTGTCTGTCTGTCTGTCTGTCTATCTATCTATCTATCTTTTTTTCAGGCAGTTTATTTTTTTTTTTAATTTATTATTTTTTTCAGGCAGTTTATTTTTGAATGAAAATGAATGGCTGATAGAAAGTGAAAAGATGCTGGATTTCAGTGGAGATGCAATTTAAAATAACAGATACCATTTTGTGCGTGTGTGTTACTGGAGATTGCGCTCAGTGCCTTGTGCGTGCTAAGCAACCTCTGAGCTACATCCCCAGTCCCACATCTGTCTTGTATACTTTAGAATCAGTATACTTTAGAAGATCAAGCAGTGGCCCTACTACTGGGAAATTGGGCAGGCCTGCTCATGGGATGTGGGGCAGGGCAAGGTAGTAAACCAGTCCAGCCTCCTTGCAGTGCAGGCTGGTGAGTCAGGTCAAGTTGAAGAAGCCCTCCTAGTGGTACTCCTCATTGGGGGAGCAGTTGCATGTGTCAGGCAGTTAAATCCCCAGACTAGATAACATGGAGCCCGAGAGAGAGAACTCAGGAACAGAATGGTGAGTGAAAAAGCACAAGGATAAATATGACGTGTCATTCCTCCTAAATTCTCAGATACAGTGTCAGTAATCACCAGGAGTGCAGCTTGCGGTTTAAGGACTCAGTTCGCCTCTGACGACAGGGAAGAAATGCTGTTTTCCACCCCAGAGGGCTCTTGGAAAAGACAAAGGCACACACAGCTGGCTGGTTGCTGCTAGTTCTTAGGGACTGCTCACGCATCTTTTTGTCCTACAGCTTAAAAGCTGGTACAGACTTTTTAAAAACTGCTTTCTGTTAATGCTGGTCATATGCTCATACTTACCGTACTTGCTCACTGAGCCAGCTTCTCTTCTAGAGGCTGAGGCTGTGCATTGAATAAGAAAGACCAAAGAAAAGAAAAAGAGAAGTCTCTGCTGTTGTGGCACTCAGAAAGGTGGAGGCACAGACAGCAGACAAACAGGAAAATAGTTCTTCTCTTGGCCGATGCTAGGCCGCGTGGAGGAAATGGAGGGGCACTGAGAGATGGGTGGGTGGTCGGGAAGGCCTGCTCCCAGGAGCTGAGCAGATGCCTGTGGTATGAGGAGGGAAGCTGGAGAAATTTTTAGGAAGAGTCAGCCTGAAGTGAAAGCCTTCAAATAGGTCATGTTCAAAAATTGTAAGAATCAAATTCTTAGGAATAAACAGCAGAGTGCAAACCTAACACTTTGAAAATAGCAGCTACTGGTGAAGTGACTGGGAGCCTAAGTAAATGGAAAGGCGCTCCATGTTCATGATACAGAAGATAGTCGTAAGGTGGCAGTGGTAAGATACCCAGACCGATCTACCCAGGAGTGTGGTCCCTGTCGCTGTCATCATCCCCGTGCGTCTTGAGAAACTAACTTTGAGGCCCATGTGGCCAGGCTGAGTTCGAAGAAGGGAAAGTAGAGGACAGTGTAGGCGGGAAGGTTGGCTGGGTGGGGCGTAAAGTCCCATGCGCCGTGAAACCCTGCTGCCAACCTCATCCCAGATGTGGCTGCTGGGATGCTCGCACAGCTGGCTTGTACAGGGGAGGAATAACACCTGGTCAGTGTTTGTGGGGGCCTGCTCTGTGGCAGGTACAGGCACGCAGGGGGCTGGGATAGGGACCAGGACAGGAGGTTGTAACAGGTCCGCTTTTTAGGGCCAGAGATTCGGACCTCCTCGGTTTATTTCTGCACATGCAACCTACTTAAACATTTTCTTACATGATGTTGAAGTAGCAGAACTTGTAAAATATTTAGAAGATTCAAACTAAAAAAATACATATCTTTCAAGAGCCAACCATTTTGAGGTGCTGACAGTTAACATTTAGAACCCAGGGCCTTGCACATGCTAAGCATGTGCTTAGGTAACTACTGAGTTTATACCTCCAACCCCTTGAAATGAATTTATTGATAAGAGGCTCTCCAGTTCAACAATGAGTAACCCCCGTAAATGCCAGCACCACCCAGAGAAACAAAGCAAGAATCCTAGCTTCCCATTTGGCCTGTTATTCTAAGTCTTTTGCTCCATTTCCTGCAGGTGGAGCTGATCAGAATAATGTTCAGCATCAACCCCCTGGAGAACCTGAAGCTGTACATCAGCAGTCGGCCACCTCTGGTGGTCTTTATGATCAGCGTCAGCGCCATGGCCATAGCCTTCCTGACCCTGGGCTATTTCTTCAAGATCAAGGAGATTAAGTCACCGGAAATGGCAGAGGTGTGTCTCTCCCAGCTTTCCTGCTTGGGCCACTAGACCTTGTAGAGGGGGAAACACTTTTTGGTTTTCCATACATCGGTCTTGTCTTTGTCTGTCTATGCCTTGTCTTGTCTTTTCTTTTTTTTTTTCTTCTTTCTTTCTTTCTTTGTTTCTTCTTTCTTTTTTCTTCTTTCTTTTCTGTTGTGATTTTTTTGTTCCTGATGAAAAACACCAGTATTCAAAATTTTCAGCATTTCCATATCCCTATGACCTACTTTATTAGGAAATATGAAGATAGTTATTATTTGATTTAAATAATGTTACCATTTCCAGTGCATCTATTACAATGGAAACACATGCATTTTGGAGAGTATATTTGTAAAATAATTTGTGGCAAGAAGCTAGAGAACTCATTTCTTTGACATTCATACTAAGTTTTTCATTGCTGTTTTCGAAAACTGCAGTTTTTTTTTGAGACAACATGTCATTATGTATCTAAGGTGGCCTTCCTCAGCCTTCTGAGTGCTAGGGTAGCAGGCATACACCAACATACCTGGCAGAAACGCTGAACATTGGTGTTGCAAATTCACATCTATTATTGAGTTTTATTAGCTGTACTTTTTTATAAGCATATATTTTATTTCCAAATATATTTCTATTTTTTAAGCTAGGAAAATATTACCTTTTCCTAGCTTTGCCTTCTGGTTTTTTCATTTTGGGCAATTTAAATGTTATTGGAGCATTTTAATCTTTAAGCTAGATAGATATACATATATCTTTATTATTTTATTCATACAATTTATATATGCATATAAATATATTTTTTGTATCGGGAATTGAACTCAGGACCTTGCATTTGCCAGGCAGGACCTGTGCTGCTGGGCTGTCTCCCTGTCCCCAGATATACATATTGATTATGTTCATCGTGGGAAATTTGTGCTGTACCTGATTTGTCTTGGTGTCTCTTTTTCTCCCATTCCCCTCTTTCCCTTTAACCCCTCCTCTGCTCCTTTTCTACAAAGCTTTGTTTCCATTTTTTCCTTCTTTTCTCACTTTTTTCCTTTTCTTTTCCTCTCTTTTACCCTCTACCCTCCCTAGTTGAACAGTTTCTTCCAGTTTCACAATATCTGTTATACCTTTGGTCCTTATTTACACTTTCAGTTTCTCATACCAGAGAGACAATGCAATATTTACATGTGTCCAATTTATTTTACTTAAGAGTGTGGTCTCGAGGTCCATTCATACAGTTACGTCTCAAGTTTATCCTTCTTTATGGCTGAGCAGTACTCCATTATATTAAAAAACCCATCTCATTTTTATCCATTCATTGATTGATGGGCATTTGGGTTGTTTCCAATAATTAACTATTAAAAACTGTGTTGCTGTCAACATGGATGTGTTTATATTACTGTGGTATGATGCTTTTAATTTTTTCAGGAAGATAGCAAGAAGGGGAATAGCTGGGTCAAATGAGACCTCTAGACCTAGTTTTTTGAGGAATCTGCATACAGTTCCATAGTGGTTGCACCAGTCTATACTCCCACCAACAGTGGAGAAGAGTTCCTTTTTCCCCACAGCCCTGCCAGCATTTGTTATTGGTAGTTTCCTTGATAATAACCATTCTTCCTGGAGTGAGATGGAATCTCAGCATTGTTTTAATTTGCATCTCTCAAATGACCAGTGATGTTGAACATTTTTTTGTACATTTGTTTTTTGTTTGCATTTCTTCATCTGAGAATTGTGTATTCATCTCAGATGTCCATTTTTTTTTTTTAATTTTAAAGAGTAAAAGAAGGATAAAATAATAATAGGAGGGGCTTACCAAATTACAGACAAAGTGGTAGGAAATGATCAATGGTTATTGTTTTACATGTTGTTATCTATAAGACAGTTTCTCAGGAAAACAAATAGACAAATGATAGTGAGTTACAGACAAA